TGGAGTGGTAAGGTGAGGGGTGGGCTCGAGCTGTTTTGTGCATGCCTTCTGCTCGTGGGTCATGGCGCCACAGCTGCCGCTATGAGTCATGAATCACATGCCATGAGCTATGGGCCATGAGCCACATGCCATGAGCTATGGGCCATGAGCCACATGCCATGAGCTATGGGTCATGAGCCACATGCCATGAGCTATGGGTCATGAGCCACATGCCATGAGCTATGGGTCATGAGCCACATGCAATGAGCTATGGGCCATGAGCCACATGCCATGAGCTATGGGCCATGAGCCACATGCCATGAGCTATGGGCCATGAGCCACATGCCATGAGCTATGGGCCATGAGCCACATGCCATGAGCTATGGGTCACATGAGCCACATGCCATGAGCTATGGGTCATGAGCCACATGCCACGAGCTCGGAACTATGAGTCGTCGTGAGCCACATAATTTAAATGAGATGTATTCGTACTGTACATCCCAAAAAGCCGCACAAGGGATGAAGAAAAGGGGAACGTACTTGGCGCATGCTCCTTTGTGGTACTTGGTCGCTTGGAAGACTTTGGCTCCCCGGTCATACCAGTTCTCGGGCTATGAAAAGGGCTCACGGTGGGAAGGGCTCACAGTGAGAAGAGAGACTTACTTGGCGCATGCTCCTTTGCGGTACTTGGCTGCTTGTAAGACCTTGGCTCCCCGGTCGTACCAGTTCTTGGACTGCTGCCCGCCTTCCGACTTCCAGTTGCGCTGGTGCTTCAAACTCTGCACAGTAAAAGATTCACAAACCAGAGTCGCAATGGGTTTGCGTTAATTTTGGCCGGGAAAATCAACATAGAAAATCAGCATAGAAACTCTGAGAGGCATGGCCACATTAGCCTGTGCGACATCACATCCCAAGGAACTCTCACTTTGAAGGAACATCTACTAACGAGAGTGAGGAAACGAACGACTTTCATTCTCAACCTAACAACTTGAAAAGCAATCCCCAGCGTCTGGCGCTGAGGTATCAATCAAGAACCCGTTCCTCAGGACTCGAATTTACTACACGTCCTGTGGTTCGAAAGGCCGTTTTCTTTTAAAGAAACACTCAATGGTCCATCCGCGTCATGGGACCACGGTGCTCAACAAATGAACTGCGCGTTTTAATGTGGACTGGCCTCAAAACATAGTAAGTTCCGGAGTCAAGAACGCTCTGTTTGTTTTGAAGTGTTTCTTACCGGTCTATCCGCGTTGAGGTACCACGACGACAGATGCCTGAAATGCAACCAGGTTTTTCTAACGATACGACTTCTTGCCATAGTATTTTAAAGCCTGGAAAACTGCTACGTGCTTACCGGTCTGTCCGCGTTGAGGTACCACGGTGCGGATGACATGTACTGCGGGATGTGCGGATTAATCTCCTTGCCGTCTTCATCCACTTCAGCCGGCACCAGCCCCGCCTTCCGCGCTTCCTCCAACTCCTTGGCCTTCTTGTGGTCCTCTCGTGGCTTGAAACCCACTGCTGACGTCGCCATGATGACAGCACTGGCCGCATATGGTTTGAATACTACTAGGCGGGAGTTACAAAGGGTTCGACGTACCGTACGTTGGAGATGGTATGTAAGGAACAGTCGGAATGAATGTGTCTTCTGATGGCTCTAACCTATCAGTCACGTTGTCTAAAGTGGTACTATTAGGGTGAAAAGGTCTATACCTAATCGTCAGGCCCGCTGCTCCGTTTCATCGACTTGAGAATGTACTGACTCAGCAAGAACGTCAGAAACCAATTTTTATTATAATATTTTCTTCCCACAGATTGCGTTGCTTTTGTCTAGAAACTACCTCGCCTCGAGAATGCCACGAAGGGCTCGTCTGGTTGCGATATTAGAAGGTTGGAGATGAGTTGGCGGGAGAGCGATATTCCTGCCCCTCAAATTGTCGGGCAGCAGTTGTGTGCGGGAGGAGCGACCACAGCCACACAATGCTGTTGTGGTAAGGACGAGGTCAGTAGAAAGGGTACTCTCTGCAATGCGATTGGCTGAAAGCACATCTTAGGGATGCCCTCGCACATTCGAGAAGCTACGATGGCGATGTGCGACTCGCGTTTGGCATTTGAGCATTTGTACCCGTCTTCGGTCAAACAGAGCGCTCTATTGAAGATCAAAGAAAGAAATTATCATCCGCTAAATGTCAACAGTAAATGTAGTCAAAGGATGTAGACTTTTTAATGTTTTTTTAAATACAGGTTGCAATTAAATATTTATATAGTAAAATTTAACAATATAAATTAAGCGTTACCACCCATTCACTGAAGGACCAATATATGCAAATGCAACCATAATTTGCCAAGAAATAGACGACGTAATGAAAAACACGGGGTTTTGCCTCACTTACAAAAGAGGCTGCTAGGAGTAGGTATTGGGTACTCATAAGAGGGTGAGTTTGTTGTTGGAAGTCAATTACATATCACAACTGTTTTTGGTAAAAGGGTAGCACACCAAACTGTAACAAATCGGCGGGCACCCTTCCGCCCTGACGCAATTGGCGTATTTTGGATTGGAACGTATGGGTTGAGGGAATTGCGGGCGTTTCGGGTGGGGAAAGTCTGGACTACAGCAACCTCCCGGGAACTTTACTGTCGCGGACTGTCCATGAAACTTTTCCTACTCTCATGGACACCACATCGAGGTTTTGCTTCTCCCGTGGACTCCGTCAATACTTTCGTGGACTCCAGGCTTACTTCCATGGACACACGCGAATTTGAATTAAAAAAACATACCGAACTGTACAGATGTTGACGGGAAAAAAAATATGGCGTAATCAAGTCAGTCGCAAATAGTCGCAAGCTACAGTTGTTGCATTCCACCAGGTCCGCTACTGTAGCTATCTCGCGTGTTTGAAGAAACTCTGAAGCGATCCTAAAAATTCATTTGAATAACTGTAACGAAGCACAATTAGCTGAACGACAAGTATAGCAGATCGATTAGGCTATATCTCCCTACAATAAGAGTCACGTTGTAGAATTAAGATAGATATTATGGTTACAAGGTTAATAGAGTTCATTAAATATCATAGTAGTCCCAAGATAACGGTTTAGAATTTAAGCCCACCACGAATAAGGAATACCATAAATTCTGGCATTTCCAAATATTTCAATTAATTTTCGGTTTTCATTTTCAATAAATATGTAAAATGACCAAATACCAATCATATTTGGTAAGCATGGCTGTATAAATAGAAGGTTTCAGGCCTTTATGCTATTAATATTAAAGTTTTTTCCATAATAAAATCATAATTGGCGAAAACATTGCACCACATGTATTCTATATTTACAATTTTGTGAATATATTTTTCAAATTTGAATAAGAAACATACTAAATGCAAATTAAAACAAGTGATTCTAAAAGATGTTTTTCTCGGGTTCTATTTTTTCAATCACATAATTTTCTATAATGAAATAATTTACTGCAAAGGAGAAAACAACTGATGATTGATGCTGGCTCGATGAAGCACGTGCATATTATGCTTTTATTGAGTAGTTCTAATTTGAATAATACATGTTTCTATCATGCTGTTCCTAATACACTTTGTATTTGGAAGTTTACTGCATATTTGAGTTCGGCTGCAAACTCTTCCTAGGAAAGCTCTGAGAATCTGTTTCCTAACTGGTTTCCGACATTGTTGCTCGCGATTACTTGCGACGGACAGATAGTCTGGAGTATTTCTATTTTTGTGCCCGTAATCATTTGTAGATCTCAGATACTCTTGTTTAACTGCGAAAATGCTTGTGTCCATGGAAGTTTTCGGTAGTCCACGAAAGTATTGACGGAGTCCACGGGAGAAGCAAAACGTCGATGTGGTGTCCATGAAAGTAGGGCTTGTCCATAAAATTATGAAGAGTTTTGAAAACTGTCCGCGGCAGTAATTCTCCCACTTGTCCCACAAATTCTCAAACCGACCCACTCTCTCGATGCAACACACCCCCACAATCCACAGCGAAGACTTGTTTGAAACAACTTGCCCATTTGCATCGCGTGTCAAATGTTCAGTACGGTACTGCGGTTTAATGCGCATCACAGTTCGCTAAGGTACGATACAGCGCGTTTTAGAGTCACAACGTACGCTCCAGTTGTGAAGTGTACACGTGCGACTCAACTGTGGCATGAGGTTTCCGAACAACTGCCTGCCACCAGCTTTGGAAATTGGCTTTGGAAAGTGGACTCACCCGGCCTAGATTTGCGACCAGGGTCATTGTCAGTCGAAGCGCCCTGCCGTGGCCCACCGTACGTACATCAGAGCCTTATCACTTATCCCAAACCAAAGCAGTGATAAGCTCCCTCACACAGCCAAACCAAGTCCGCTGTACAGTATATAACCAGGCTCGCAACGAGACACCTTATCAGCCATCGAACGACCGTCGGTTTCGGAATTCGAACCTCAAACTTTGCAGCCTATCGTGGTTTCTTTCGTCCAGCCTTCGCGATGGCGTTTCCTGGCAGCCTGACCTTATTGCTTGCGCTGTGCAGCCTTCTGCACCTGGCAGAGGGAGCGAACATGCCCCCTGGTGGATGCCACACCCGCTATGTCTGCCCCTACATTGACGACCTCGCTAACGCAACTATTACGCAGTCAACCTACACCAGTTACAATTTTCTCGGTTACTACCAGGGGCAGTTCAACGACCAGGGCGGGCAGTACACGCCATTTCAGCGCGGGTCAGGCCCCGTGAACTACGAGCGGTACACAGAGGTTGGGACTGTTTTCGACGTGGTGAAGGGCGTTTACGGCGACACGCTGCAGGAGTGCTGCCGCGCGTGCGCTCGCGCCACCTACTGCTACGAGTGGCACTGGTTCAAGAAGTACGTATCTCTTGGTGAAACTAGGGCTGCAAAGTACATCGCGCTTTCGATGTCAGTTCGGAACAAAGTCGTTCGTGAACACGAGCTTCCCCTTGACAGTTCCAGCTTTTCTGAACCTTGCATTTCTGCCTCGCTTCCGTTCTGCAGCCCTCGTCTAACTGGCGAAAATGCGAACGTGGCGGGATTCATCGACCGCGTCCAGTGCTACTTGCTGGAGAAGAATGGTGGATCCGGCACGTCGGGAGACTACAAAACCCCGTACGCCGGCGACGCGACGACGCAGACGGCGAACGCGGCGTCGTACCCTCTGAGCTTCGTCGGAGGGCTTTGCAACGGTACCGCTCTGATAGAAAACGACCCGCATCTCACGGGCGCCCGCGGCACGCACTACGATTTCACGGGGCGGCTCGACAAGTCTTTCTGCCTCCTCTCCGACCGTCAGTTTCACGTGAATATGCTTCTTAACGGGTACCAGGGCACTCCGCCCGCACTTCCCGCGTCGGCATCGTCAATTGACGGCAAAGATTCGAGCACGGAGCTGCACACGTGGATTAAGGAGCTCGGCGTCGTTTGGATGACGGCCGACGGCGCGAACCACACGCTGCGCATGGTGGCGCGCAAGGGCAAGCAGCAGGAGCGTGGGTACGGCTTTGTTTCGCGGATTGAGATCGACGGAAAAGTGACTTCGCTGCCGAGCGTTGGCGAAACGATTGCGACGGAAAGCGGACTGATGGTTACCAAAGTCGCGGAGGAGAAGGAGGGACCGTTCGATGTGGATCAGTTTCAGGTGCGCGTGGTGGGGCTGGGGGAACTCGACGTGCGCGTGCGCGTGGCGCATCCGCTGCTGCAGACTCCGACCGAGGCTGAGGCGCACATTAACGTCGAGCTGTCCGACGTCCAGATGACGTCAGCCGTGCACGGCGTGCTCGGGCAGACGTTTAGGAACACGCCGGAGCAGCTGCAGCGCGCGATTAAGTACTCGCACTTGGCGGCGTTGCTGGGCCACCCCGTCGACGTGGATAAGCCAGAGGGCAAGGGTTTCCTGGACGGGGAAGTGGAGGACTATATCTCCTCGTCGATCGTCGCGCCGGACTGCAAGTACGCGAGCTACGGCACTGCTGTCTAAGACGGCGATATCGTCGCTCGGGAATGTCTCCTGCTGTGGTGGGGAACGAGTGATGGGAGACTTGGACTGGTGGAACTGGCTGCTAGGAATTCCTGGTGGGAAATCTGAGAGGTGGGAGCAATGGGAGCAATGGGAGCAATGGGAGCGATGTCATATTTTGTCGTGTGCTCGGCAGTCTAGGTAGTGTCGTGAGTGTCGTGAGAGAGTGTCGTGACTCGTGAGTGTTGGGGGAAGGGAAATGAGGGGAGTTGGAGGGAGTGTGAAATTGGGCCGTGCTCTAGTCCGTGCGCCCAGCCATGTGCAGCTGCCTTTTGAGGCAAATAAGGGAGCTCTGACTGCGGTAGCTTTTAATTCTCATGAATTCCAGTTATGATTTCACTCTATTTTCTGTTTGAATTCCATAGCTTCTTGGGGATTTCAAGGTAAGTAGTAGCATAAGAAAAAACATGCATGTGTCACCAGTACCACTTGGTACTAAAATGTGCTGCATTCACATCATTACACGCTCTCCACATCTCACAAAGCAAGCACAAATCACCATCTACTTCTCAGAGTAAAAAAAATACTATACTGAGGTGGTACAAAGGAATATAACCTAAGGTGTTGTACTCGCTATGAGCCGGCATCTATCTAGCCTATAACATATACAAAATATATATTGGCACACCCCCTAGGCTAGACAAGGGGCAACTATCAAATTGAAAATTGAATGTATGATAGAATGAGAGTACACAAAGATATACCTAAGTGTTGTACTCTCTAAGAGGCGACCCTATACAGTCTATACAAACATGACAAATACACATGTTTGACAGCAACAACTAGCACGAGACACGCAGCTCATGGTGGCACTACTAGTCCAACCTCTGAGGCAAGGATCCGAAGACCAATCAACAAGAGTACAAACTAAACAAGAATAACCCAGGGTGGCACTACTAGTCCAGCCGCTGGAGCAGGAGCCATAAGGCCAATCAAGGGAATATAAGATATAGTACACAATCAAGGTCCTAGCAAGTGAGAAGCTACAGGAACTAGACCAAACTGTACACAGTGCCGCTGATGATCTTTATGCGCAAGCGCCTTCGTAAAGATATCAGGTGTGTTAGCACAGGATGTTAGAAGGCTAGCTTAGCTAGGAAGCTAGGAAAGGCATGAGGTTTAGCTAGGAGGAGCCATGGAGTGGCATAAGGTTTAGGAAGGAGAAAAGTTGAGGAGAGAAAAGAGGGTTGGAATAGAAAGAGAGAGGCATACAAAGAGGGGATTGTACCCTCTACAGTAAAGTTCGGTAACCTACCAAGCCTAACAATTATATAACTCAATATATAATTCAACACACCCCCTAGGCTTGGTAGTCACAAGCCCACACACACCCCCACACCCCCTAACCTAGCACCCCCATTCCCATCAGCCACGTCTACTCCAGCAGAGCCAACCCCAAGGCCCGGGAGATTGCGACGGCGGCCGTCGTGGCAGCGGCGACAGCGACAACGACGGCGGGCGTGCCGCGGCAACAGGCCTGCGGCGATGGCAGCGGCGACGGCGACGGCTTCGGCTTACGACGGCGGTAACGGCAGCGGCCCCGGCCCTTCTGGCGGCGTGTCCAAACTCCGCGACAAGGGGACGACCGGCGAGAGTCAGGCGGCGGCTGTGGCGAAGAGGAGGGGACAGAGGAAAAGGGGAAGGGGCGGGGCTTCGGATCTTCAGCGCGGCGCCATTGCTGGCGCAGCGCTTACTGGCGTGCAGGCGGGCGGTCTAGCGGCGCCACAGGCGTCGCGCGGCCGGCTGCAGCCCGACGTCGCCGTCACAGAGCGGCGTCGACGCCGCGGCGGGACGTCGACGCTGCGACGGCAGCACGACGGCCCGACGCCACGGCAGTGCGTCGGGACGGCAGCGGCACGACGCGGCCAGCGGCATGACGACTCCGCCATTGCAGCACAACGCGGCCGCCATGGCCGCACGAGCGAACGAGGGCGAGTACGCGGCGGAAGCGTAAGGAGGCGGTCCAGCAGGAAGGAACTCCTGCTCTGATAGCATGTTAGAAGGCTAGCTTAGCTAGGAAGCTAGGAAAGGCATGAGGTTTAGCTAGGAGGAGCCATGGAGTGGCATGAGGTTTAGGAAAGAGAAAAGTTGAGGAGAGAAAAGAGGGTTGGAATAGAAAGAGAGAGGCATACAAGGAGGGGATTGTACCCTCTACAGTAAAGTTCGGTAACCTACCAAGCCTAACAATTATCTAACTCAATATATAGTTCAATACAGGAGGCCCAGTGTACTACACAAGCCTGACTGCGCTGCTGCAGCTCGCGCATAAAGAAGTACTATAGCTGGATGTGCTTCACTCTTTCCTCCAAACGAGATCCTGACACAGGAAGATCATGGCCCTGTTGTCTGCGTACAGAACCGAGGCTGAGCTAAGCCGCTCACCTAAGTATGTGAGCAAGAAAGTCAGCCAGCAAAGCTTCTGTGCCGCAATGACACCAGCGTAGATCTTAGCCTCACAGTTAGACTGGGCAACAGACGACGAACGGATGGACCTCCACGAGATGGCACCTCCACCAAGGCTAAACACTAGCCCTTGGAGGACCTGAGCGTCTCAGCGTCGTCTGCCCACAAAGCTTGTGTGTGCCCGGTAAGGACCACTGCCTGCATCCTCCTAGCACTAGCCCCATGGCCGATGTACTTGCTAGATAATGCAAAACCCTCTTAACGGCCAACCAGTGCTGCGGTCGGTATCTACCTGTCGCCACAAAGCGAGCCATGATGCTGAGAGGATGCGAGATCTGGACGAGTGCAAGTCATCAGATACATGAGGCAACCCACCAGCTCTGCGTACTGACCACTAAGCTCTACTGACTCCCCAGGGACTGGAGCAGAGAGCATGTAATCTACTGGCGCAGTGCGGAGGAGAACTGAAGACCGAACCTCTGAAGGACCTGGCGCACCAAGTGTGACTATGTGAGAGTGATGGGGCGCGTTGCTTTGTCCCTGGAGATCTGTAGGCCAAGGTAGAGACGCAGCTCTCCTAGGTCAGTGCAGGTGTGTCACAGGATCGAATGTAGTTTGCTCAATGTTGCACTATGAATCCATACAAGGTGCTTTTATACTTCCAAAGTACATCAGGTAACCAGGTTTATCCTATCCAAAGGGAATAGACCCTTCTAGAAATCGAATCACCCTGCGTATAGCTACGTGATGCTATTGGCTTTAAGGGATTACGGCAGGATTATGCTAGATATAGCGTACCAGTACATCCCGAGCCTAGTCGGTGATGTAACTATAATAAGAGGAATAAAATAGAAAGGAAATATGGAAAAGGGAAAATGGTGTAACGGGGTCGTACTCTCACACTTCCCCCCCTCAAAGCTAGGTGGTAGAAATAACACCCTGCTTGACAAGGTAGTTGCGAAGAGGACGACGGGTGTTACCCATGTCAAATTCAGAGACATAGCCTCAGAAGTATCATAACCCTTCCAGCAAAGAAGAAGTTCCAGGCGGCCATTCTGACGATGACGGTGTCCGAGCACGTAGTTGTCCCATGGCGTAGACGAACACGGGCGGCGACGGTGGTTGGCATTCGGTCTAGAGCGTTTTTGGTCTTGATAGGGTTTAAGACGCTGGTATGGAAGGCGTTATGCATCTTCCGAGTGGCTGGTAGGCGGAAACAGAAGGTGACTGAAGTGACCTTTGCTTCAACAAGGATAGACCCGCAGAAGCAAGGTTGAAGCTTGGATGGAAGATGGCTGATGTCAAGATTATGGTGTGGATAGCTGTAGTGATGAACGGCTAAGTGCTTCTGTTGTTGTTGGATGCTCAAGAGGCGTTTGTGCGGCCGATCCTCGAGATGGTGGATGATGGTGATGAAATCGTAAGCGAGTTGGACTGTAGCAAGAATTGTCTGTTGTTACGGAGTGAGCAAGCTCCGTCCACGGCAAAGGAAGGATGGTGTGTATCGCCGTCAGTGATATATGGGCAGGTGCAAGTCGTAGTAGGAGATGTGAGTGGTTGGAATAGTGTGCTATAACGTGCAGATGAATGGCTATGTTGTCCGATCTGTGCATGCTGTTACCCGCATCTGGTTCACGGGTGAAGATCATGATGTGTTGGTGGTATGGCCGTCGTGTCTTGGTACATCTTATGTAGCAGCGTTGTATCTGTTACATGCAACTTCCATCGAATGTTGATCCATGACTTAGTGTTGTCTCGAGTCGTACCCTCTTGGCATCCTAGTGCGGCAGGATGGAGAGCAGAATCACCACTAGTAACTCTGTTCACCACACGGTCTGCTAGTCACACTGCCTTGAGTACAATATCGCATGCGAAGTGCTGCTCAGCGTATCCCTTGTGTTCAGAACCATGCGAGGGGTTGGTACCATAAATGCGGGGCTGGTAACTTCCAGAATCAGCGCCAAAGTAGTTTCCCTCGGTGGTTGCTCAAGCAAGGAATCTCTGCTGCGTAGATATCCTACGGTGATGGGTTAGGACATCTGGGAATGTTAGGGCTATTCCCAAATAATCCTCTCCCATTTCCAAATGAGCATTGCTGACAGCCAATCCAGTATGACCTTATGCACTTCCAATTTAGCACAGAGCCCATCAGTAGGCATCGGTGTCTGGGCGCACATACAGTGACGGAAACAATTGTCAGGATGTTTTTCATTAGGGTTTTTTTGCTTTCTGATCACAGTGTATAAAGTCTTAATATTCAATGATTATACGCTTTGGGAGAGGCACATAGTGGATGTGTTCACAGCACTAAAATCCATAATAATACACTTGATCTAACCTAGTGTCAAAAGGCATACAAAGAGTGCATCCGGACAATTGTTTCTTGGGACAAAGAGCAAACTTCCGAGCAGCGTTTCTGGTACCTAGTCCACCGACCCTTGGCCTTGATCACTACCCCCACCCTCCTAGGCATGTTATCTACGAGGATAGTGCAAACCTTTGCGGGGATCTTCTCGCACTCTTCCTAAACCCACCCTTTTGCATAAGGAAGTGAGCACAAGGAAAATCACAAAGTATTTGGTCGTATGCAAGAGTATTGTGCAAGATTTCTGATTGAATGTTATCTCTTAGACTGGCCACACTGAGGTGTGACCAAAGATGCCATTAGCCGCTTGGTCTCATCTTTTCATGGGTCGCCTCCGTCGTACCGCTGTAGGGTAAAACCATGAAAAGAGCGACGCAAACTAGTGTATACGCCGCGAAACTAAGGGTAACATAGCACGGTCAATTGTGCACCCTTGCACTATTAGAATCATGCTAGGATCCGCAGGTCTCATCACGGTGCCGCAGTCAAAGAAGTCACAATTATTCGGGAAGAATGTCCGGGTTGAGGTTTGGTGATGAAAAGGGTCACTCCAACGCAACATACTCAT